GTATGTATGTATGTATGTATGTATGTATGTATGTATGTATGTATGTATGTATGATGTATGTACGTACATACGCACACATACATATATATATACACACACACACACACATTCACACACATACACATACATACATACATTACATACATGCATACATACATACATGCATACATATTCATATAAAGCAAAAAATAGACTACAGCCTACTTCTTGATAAAATAGAACAATGTGCAATAGACAGTACCACCATCAGATGGATTTGCTGTTGACTGACCAACCATACTCAGTGGATAGTCTTCAATATAACTACATCTACATGGAGGGAATCATGAAGTAGGGTACCTCAGGGCTCTGCAATGGGGGCAATGCTCTTCAACATCTTCATTAATGATGTAGATGAGGAGATAGAAGGGAAGCTCGTCAAATTTACAGATGACACCAAGTTGGGGAGAATAGTTACCACTTTGAATGATAGACTCAAGATTCAAAAGAATATTGACAGACTCCAGCATTTGGCCCTATCCAATTAAATGCAGCTCAGTGATGAGAAAAGCTTCTGCATTTAGGCAAACAAACGAAATGAAGAGATATAGAATAGGCAATACCTGGCTCAACAATAGAAACTGTGACAAGGATCTAGTTATGCTGCAGCTGCCAAAAAAAGTATTGTTGTTGTAGGTTGCATCAACAGAGGAATAGTTTTAAGATCACAAGAAATGATAGTATCACTTTAAACTGCACTAGTGTAGCCACACTTAGAATACTGCATCCAGTTCTGGTCAACATGATATACAAAAGAAGGTGAGACTCTAAAAAGTGTGACAAGAAGAGCAGTAAAGAAGACATGGAGTCCAGACCCTAAACTGTATGTTGAACAGTTAAGGGAACTAGATTGTCTAGCTGTGCTCCCCTGCTCCCCACACATACATATAGCAAGACTTCTACAGGTGGTTTATTCAACCCCCACCTCCAAACAGGTCCTCAGAAAGCACATCTGTTGTGCAAGTCCAGATTCCAAGCTCAGTACTGCAAGAATCACTGAGTAGCAGAGTCCAAGGGACACACACAAAGTCCAAGAAAACAGTCCAGGAGTCAAACAGGCTAGGATACAAAGTGCCAGGATACAAGGCACCAGGACACAAGGCGCCAGGACTGGGCACATTGCTTCAGCAACACTCAAGTCCTCAGGTGGGGTTAAGTAGGCAATGCCGGTGCAGCCCTTCATAAGGCAAGGTTGCCTCCTCATTAGTAGTCTAGCTGACCAACATTGTGCCCACCTCCTTTCTGTTCTTTGTGTCCTTGAATCAGGAGGAGGTGTACATTCCACTTCTTTCTCATTGCTAAGCTGCAGCAGTTGCTCCCAGTCCTTGGCTGGAGGCTCCTAGCCAACTTGCTGCAGCTGTGGCTCACTTCACTCAGCCTCAGCCTGTTGCTAGTCCAATTGACTCATCTGAGGCTGCTTTATCAGACTAACATTTTCTGAGCCCCAATCCTGATCAATACTCGCTCTGTGCTTTCCTATGCAGACTCAAACTTACCCTTCTCCACTGAATTTGCATCTGGAGTGGAGTCTGGGGATAGATCCATGACACTAGCTTTTCAAAAAGAAGGATTAGGGGTGGCATGATAGGGGGTCAACAAATAGCAATAAATTTAGGAATAGTATTTATAGACTTACATACCACCCCATAGTGCTTTACAGCACTCTCAAGTTTTAACATTTTTATTGAGTTATAAAATACAATAAGATACAAAATACGAAAGTAAATAGGAAAACATTGGGGAGGAATTGGGAGAAGAAAAACGAGTAAGGATTAGGAAAAGGAAAAAGAAACATTGACTTCCATCTCTCTCTGTTGCAATAAAATAAGGTATTAACATCAAATCACAGCCTTTTGTTTTTTCATAATAATATGAGCTAGCCATTTCTATAAGGATCTATCAGTCTAATTAGTAAAACCCAAAATTAAAGTTTTAATCTGTTCCACTTCAAGCACAAAATTCAGAAGCAGTCTCCATGTGGAAACAAAGGTACACATATTCTTTTCTTTAATCAAAATAGTCAATTTTGCCATTTCAGCCAACCTCCATCAGCTTCTGCAACCATTCGTCCATGTTAAGAATTGAAGCATCCTTTCATGTTTGTGTGTACAATAGTTTTGCTGCTGTCAACATATCTATAACAAAGTTCCAAAAAAAATTTCCAAGTCTTTTTCCCTTAGGTCCAAATGGAAAATTTCTGGTTTCATCTTTATCTCCATTTTCAATATTTTCTGTATTAAAATATGAATGATACTCTGAAATTTCTTTGCTTTATCACACTACAGCTCTCTCTGAGCAGTTTACAAAATCAGCATATTGTCTCCAACAATCTTGGTCCTCATTTTACTAACCTCAGAAGGATGGAAGGCTGAATTAATCTCAAACCCCATCAGGATTGAACCCTTCTGTAGGCAGAATAAATCTACAATACTGCATTCTAACCACTGTGCCATCATGGCTCCAAAACCCCTGAGGGCAGGACAAGATGCAACAGAAGAAAGCTTGTTAAAGAGAAAACCAACTTAGAATTAAAGAGTCATTTCCTGGTGAAAATGATTAATCAATGGAATAGCTTGCCTCCAGAGTTTTGAATGCTCCATCACTGTAGCTCCCTGCCTTGAGCAGGAGGTTGGAGTAAAAGACCTCCAAGGTCCCTCTCAGCCTTATGATTCCATGACTTTTATTCTGCAGAACCACTGACTATCAAAGCAGAAACAGTTTTGGAGATTTGCTTTTTGCAGGAAGTGTAGATCAAAATCACTGGAGAGCTTCAAGAAAAGATTGGGGAGCCATTTTTCCAGGATGGAATAAGATCTCAGAACTGCCCAGGTTTTGGTCATGGTAGCACCTCCACAGTAAACTGAACAAAATTTGTGTCCTTGGCAATCTCCTTGTCAACCAACCACAGGTACACTTCACTAGTCCTCCCATACATCTTCTTCCATCCTGCCCCGCTGGTTCCCTGCAGACTCCCTTACAGTATGGGGTTCCCATGGCACTGTGTTGGAACTGGGTGCTATTTCAAAGTAGCACCAATGAATTGTGGTTTCTCCCAATGTGATGCCTGCTTCCAGGAAGGCATCATACAATCTCTATAGAGAAAGGCTGTGCAGTGGATCAGATGCTCCCTGAAGGAGATCTACAAAGAAGGTAAATAGATTGAGCTGTAATAGGGGTTAGGGAGAAGGGCATGGGACCAGTAGGGTGGGAAGCAGGCCCAAGACTTGGGAGATTCTGTGCAGGAGAGAAGTGGAGCATGGGATGCTTCAGGGGGTAAGAAGGTATTGGGAGGCCCAGAGCAGCATGTTGAGGAATTGCTATACTGCAGGCCTAGGGCTAGGGCTAGGGCTCCCAGGTTCACTTCTGAGATAGCCATGCTCCATTTAATGATCACAACAGGGAGAACAGGGATTGTGGTCATGAAGCAAGGCGATCACATGGCTCCTTGCTTAATGATCACTATGACATATGACCATAATAGGCAGGGTCTATCACAATCGTAAGTCAAGGACTTCCTGTACATTGCTATTCTTTTCTATTTCTTTTTCCTTCTTAATTTCTTTCCATTTCTCTTTCTTCCCCATCCCCTGTCAAATAAACAATTCTGCCAGAGGGAACAGCCCATGGAATTATATTCTCTTAAGGATTTTCCTATGATGAGGCAAGGAATTTGGAGCAAGCTTTTTTTCCCTCTTGAGGAAAAATATGTAGAATGAATAAGGCAATAATTCTACTGGTTCCTAGAGGATAAGAACATTGTTGATTTATCCTTTTGAGAATCACCAAAGAATTTCCCTACTGGCTTCTGAAATGACCTAATGGTCTCTGGAACAATACCTCATTTCTCACTGAGATAGGTATATGGATCAGAATCTCTGCATTTCAAAAAAAATATATCTAGAGGCTTGCAGCTCTTTTCTCTTCAAATAATATCTCTATTTACTGTCCAAGAAACCATTATATCAGTGCTAGGCTTCTAGAGGTATTTCACTTTAAAAAAATAGAGAAAGGCCTAACCGGAGCACATCTCTCAAAGCACCCAAAGAAGCACAAAAATTGATGTGCTTTTTGCTCATGTGATGTTAGTGAGAGTACACTTGACTTACAACCATCTTGTTTAGTGACTGTTCAAAGTTACAAAGACAATGAAAAAAGTGACTTGTGACCATTTCTCATATATCTCACATGATATTGCAGCATCATGTGATCAAAATTCAGTAGCTTGGCAACTAATTCATGTGATCATCTTATGTGACCTGACACACAAAGTCAATAGGGAAGCCAGGCTCCCTTAACAACCATTTGACTACCTTAACAACTGCAGTGATTCACTTAACAACTGGGGCAAGAAAGGTCATACAAAGGGGAAAAATCACTTAACAAATGTTTCACTTAACAACAGAAAATTGGGGATCAGTTATAGTAGTAAGTTGAGGACTAGCTGTAATAGTCCACTGTTTAATAGAAGATGGGTACTTCATTTTTTAAATTTCTGTTGTTGGTAAGCAATATAAAAGATAGGGTCCCAAGTGAAATTCTTGGGTGGATAGAGGGTTTCCCTAATGCCCAGTTATATCAACCCTCAATGATAGCCCTGCTATAGCAGTTGAATGTTCTTTTTTGCAGGACCAGTTTGTGTTACCTGAAAATCTTGCATGGAGTGATGAGTTCAAAATTACGGCCTTTAGCATCTCGGATAGAAGAGTGGTGCATGTCAATCAGACAGATGGCAACGCCCATTTTAAAGAACTGTGGATAAAATATGGACAGGAATTGCTTTATATGTACAGCAGAAGAATATCTGAAATTTACAAGATTAATTTTAAAAATGCCCTCTCTTTTTCATGAAGGAAATAACAATAGAATAAATATTGATATTGTGAACTGTGATCCTGTAACTTTTACTGCCAACAGCTTCAACTGTTCATAGAGACTATTTTTGTCTTAGTCTGACATTATTGCTTGGTCCCACTTAAAGAAACATTCATCTGTCAATGTAGGGGAGAAAACTACAATATATGAAATGTATTTATAAAGAAATCATTAAAATCATTAAAAAAAACTTCAATCAGTTTCCCAAGACTGAAAGCCTTAGATGCTTACTTCCTCTCTTTTGTACAGCCACATCTCACTCAGGATGAGAATTACAAAGAGTTTGGATTTATAGCCTTTGAGTTCTAAATAACCACGCTTTTGGAGATGTGTGCTGCTGCATGTTGGGGAACAAAGATTTTGCTTGTCGATGACTTTCTGCTGAAGAGTGCTGCACCATTCATTCCGCTGGGCTATAGAAATTATAACAAAAGATAAGAAGATTACAAGTATTTCTCAGAATGACTTCTGATATGCAAACCTTCAGGAAAAAATCAGGTCTTTCTACATTTTCTCATTTCCAATGAAGATGGAAAAATAAAAGGGAGTAATGAGAAACAAAAGTGCTGCCTGAAAAAAGAGAATAGTGATCAAGAAGTAGCAAGAAGAGAAGAAAGGCACTTTGGGATCAGGATGAGATTTCTCACCTTCACTTTCAGCTCGGAAGACAAAAATCCTGTGTTTAGTGATGACTTGGAATTTGTTGTCCTTAGTGGAGCGCACCATGTCAATAATATAGAGAGGAATCAATCCTTTCGGATACGGTTCCTGCAACAGCCCAGGCGGTTAGTGATTTCTACTTTCACATTCTTCTCATAGAACTTTCTTCCTACTCAAAGTTAACCCAGTTTTTAAAAATATTTTTTCAATGAATATTTTAACATTATATATATTTCAAGACATGACTTTAGATATTGAAGCATATTGTCACAATCCAACTTAATATCCATTCCATACTTGGTAAATAGAATGAGTAATAAAAAGAGGAAGACTTCAGAAAAGAAGCACACATCTAAGAAAATATGACATGTTGTAAAAGATAGCAGAACTGTAACTCACAACCTTGATTTAGATCAACTTTCCACTATAATTTCTCCAATCTACATAAGTTAGGATCAATCTTCTTTTTTCAGTAACCAGAATCTAATTATCTCCCACCTGCTCCGTGTAACACATGTAGTGGCTTAATATTAATTTATGTTATACTGTTCGCACCTTCTCATTGTTAAAATACATGAGGTTTTTTCCATCAAATCTGACAAAACGTCGTTGGAAGACATAATTCCTATGGAGAATGAAAGGAAAATGCCTTAAAAGCAGAACTGTTCACTAGGGACATGACAATGTTTATTAAAGGGCTGATGGGGAGCTCAGCTATAAAGGTAGTCCTTGACTTACAACCTTAATTGAACCCAAAATATCTGTTGCTATGTGATACATTTGTTAAGTGAGTTTTGCCCAGTTTTGATTACCTTTCTTGTCATAGTTGTTAATGAGTCACTGCCGTTGTTAAGTTAATCACATGGTTGTTAAGTGAATCTGACTTGCCCATTGATTTTGCTTGTCAGAAGGTCACAAAAGGGGGTCACATGACTCCGGGACACTGAAACCATCATAAATATGAACCAGTTGTTAAGTGTCCAAATTTTGATAATGTGACCATGAGGATGTTGCAATGGTCGTAAGTGTGAAAAACTAAGTCATTTTTTTCAGTGCTGTTGTAACTTTGAACGGTCACTAGATGAACTGTTGTAAGTCAAGGACTGCCTGTATCTGCTTTTAAAACTATACGTGAAGAAGGTCTACAAATAGTATTTGTTTAATCACATGCAAATATATTAGTTTATTAAAAAGAATGTTATTAATATCTCTGTTTTTTAATAAACCTTACAATGATATCTTTATTACCCTTAGATCAGAATTACTAACTTTATAATATGATGTATAATGTACATATAGCAATGGCTAATTTTCTTACAAAAAGCAAATTTAGGTGAGACTGAAAAGAAGAAGTTGGGAAGAAATAAAAGATAGGGTCCCTTCAGTCAGTCACCTACCCCTGTGGAGAGAGCTTGTCCAGCCAGCCACTGATAACAAAGAGTGGTTGCTCTGACAAAGAGGTGTAGCTGGCATAGGGAGAGATGGTCAAATCATCATAATTTTCAACAGAACATATAGGATCAGAGAGCCTGAATGGGGAACTGTTGAAGCTTTTGAAGTCTGTTGAAGCTTCCACGGTAGAGGCTCCCTCAGTCTCATTCTGAGCAATGCAGCTGATGATACCAGCTTCCTTCTTAGCAGATGGACTCTTATCTTCTCTCCTGGGATTTCTGTCACTGAAAGATGAATGTCAGATTTATTTAATCATCAGAAACTGGTAGAAACAGGAATCCCTCTCCTGTTGTAACTTGAGGCCAGTAAAAGCACTCCCAACAAAAAAGGTAATTCCTAACTCTGAAGATACATACTTCTTAGAGTAGCAATGAGAAAAATGAGAACCATTAGAAGTATACTAACTCCTTAGTGAATTGATGCTTTCCATAAATTGACAGTTACAGCTGAAGGATAAGCTTTCATACTGCATGGAAATTGATAAATGAAAAGCTTTGTAAGATTAAGTGGCTCTAAAATCTGTGTATGTCTTTTCTCTACTTCCCCTTTCACTGCTGCAGCAACCTCCATTCCCCTGCAGCCATTGTTCTCCATACCACATTCTGCTATTGCTCCTCCCTTGCTTCTTTAGCTATGATTTTACAAAATATTAAGCTTCTCTGCTAATATAACTATGGTCTGCTATTTTAAGGATTATTCTTTCCTCAATGGAAGAGGGAGATTAAACTGGGCAGAGCAGCTTTCCTCAAACTGGGCCCCTTCACAGCAGTGACGTGTGGTGAGGTTTATGGCTGGTGAGGCAAAAAGAAAGAAAGCGGCTTTTGCCCGCGCCACCGCTATGTCCAACATAGAGGCATCCCGCCTCTATGTCGGACATAGCGGCGGCGCGGGCAAAAGCCGCTTTCTTGAAAGCCCCGCTGCTATGTCCGACATAGACAAAGCGGGCAAAAGCCACTTTTAAAAGCCGCTTTCATTCTTTTAAAAGAAAGAGGCTTTTGCGGCTATGTCCAACATAGAGGCAGGATGCCGGCAAAAGCCGCTTTCTTTTAAAAGAAAGATGTCAGATATAGCGGTGGCCCGCCCCACCGCTATATCTGACATAGAGGCGGGACGTAGAGGCAAAAGCCACTTTCTTAAATGCCGCTTTCTTTCTATTAAAAGAAAGTGGCTTTTGCAGCTAGGTCTGACATAGAGGCGGGACGCGGGCAAAAGCTGCTTTCTTTTAAAAGAAAGAAAGCAGCTTTTGCCTGCCCCGCTGCTATGTCCGACATAGAGGTGAGACGTAGAGACAAAAGCCGCTTTCTTAAAAGCCGCTTTCTTTCTTTTAAAAGAAAGCGGCTTTTGCAGCTATGTCTGACATAGAGGTGGGACGTAGGCAAAAGCCACTTTCTTTTAAAAGAAAGAAAGCAGCTTTTGCCCACCCCATCACTATGTCCAACATAGAGGCGGGACATAGAGGCAAAAGCCGCTTTGTTAAAAACCACTTTCTTTCTTTTAAAAGAAAGCGGCTTTTGCCCATGTCCCACCTCTATGTCGGACATAGTGGCGGGGCGGGCAAAAGTCACTTTCTTTCTTTTAAGAAAGAAAGTGGCTTTTGCCCGCCCTGCCACTATGTCCGACATAGAGGCGTCCCTCTATGATGGTCTGCAGCCCAGGGTTCTGAACAAACTGACAGGTACAAACTCAGAGCCACTGAATATAAAAGCTCCTTTAGCACAGGGTAACTACTAGATGACTGGAAAAGAGCTTATGTAATACCAACATACAAAAAAGGAAAAATGAATCCAGGAAATTATAGGCTAATCAGTTTGACATCAATACCTGGGGAAATTGTGGAAAAAATAATCAGGCAAAGGATTTGTGAGCACCAAGAAATAAACAAGTGACAACTGACTCACATTTATGGTGGCTGCAGTGTCCTGGGGTTATGTGATCACCTTTTGTGACCTTTTGACAAGCAAAGTCAATGGGGAAGTCAGATTCACTTAACAACTATGTAAGTAATTTAACAACTGCAGTGATTCACTTAACAAACATGTCAAGAAAGGTCATGAAATGGGGCAAGATTCACTGAATAGATTTCTCACTTAGCAACATAAATTTTGGGCTCAATTGTAGACATAGGTCGAGGGGTTTCTATAGTTATTATATGGCACATCTGTTTATTGTGTACATCTTTTGCAATTCCAGTGCAAAATATAATTGCTAATTATAAATCAGAAGTTAGATATAATTTTCTAAAATATTTAACTGATCTCTTTTCTAGAACAAGATTCAATGGGTATAGGACTTAGTCCCTTTTCATTTAGAATCCTCAAAACCTGTGCTACTGATAATTGCATTTCTGATTTAGTCCTTTCTTCCTAGGTTTAAAGGAAAAATGGATGAAGTATGGATTAAAAACTTGGTGTCATTCCCGAAACAGCCAACCACAGCTAGCTGTTCCAGGGCTGCCGTTCGGGGAGAGGAGGACCCACCATTGCAGAGTGAGGCATCAGCTGAGAGGTGGAACAGCTGAGCACAGGGTGAACATTTAGCTGAACGTTTAACGTTTGGCTGAGCACCAGGTGGACGCCAGGCCACTGCTCCATTGGTCTGGGTGCTTTTGGGAATGCCTCTGGACCTGCAGTCAGCTGGGAAGCGGATAGCTGGCAATAAGCTGGGAAGCAGAGACTGGCAGAAACAGCTGAGTGTTGGCAACCAGAAGCCATGGGGTGGGGCAGACACCAGGGGGTAGGGATGCCAGAGGGTGATATAAACACACATACTTAAGGATGAAGGGATAGACTGCAGTTAGCACTGACTTTATTTTGCTTCTTGCCTTGTTGGTAATTTTATGTTGGATTTCACACTTTCAAAGATGAATGCTTCAAACTGAACTGTGATGTCGGTGGTTTCTTGATGCTGAACTACGGAACTTGGATTATGATATCTGGATGATCTATAAAGTTTGCATTGCATACTAAACAATTGTATTGCATATTAACATAGCATGTTAAATGGCATAACATTCTGCACAACATGTATAGGCAGAAAAGAAGACACACCACTTACATTGGGTCCTGGCTCTGGTTTGTTACATATTTTCGCACATCTTCATAGTCTTGGCATTCAGAAGTTGCTGAATTCTAGAATAGTAAATAATAGTTCAGTAGAAACAGCAATGACCAATTTTTCTTAGTCAGATACACAATTCTGACTCTTTTTCTTTGTACATAAATTGATGCCAATGGAACTTTCTTATGGAGTGTAAATTTTCTTTATATTTCCATTTAAGAAATTAAAAAACAACCTTGGGCCTGAAGACACAGCCATTCCTTTTTAAAAAATCAGGATTTTAAAAATTATATTTATTTTCAAATATACAAAGTTCAAACAGCTTGTTCAATTACATTTTGAAAAAAATATATTTTAAAAATCACTTCCAATTTACAAACCAATGTTGGTCAGGCAGAAAAATCTCAGAACATTAATGAAGTGTTTCCCATCCAGCATCTAATCAAAGTCAGCATACATGATATCCTTGATGTATATTTTTGTCACTTTCAATTTGTTTTATTATTCCCTTTCTCATTTTCCTTCTTTTTTAAGGTTTTATTGGATTTTTATTTTTAAATACATCAATATCAATACATGAACAGTGTGGCCTCTGGGGTATAATTCATTTTGATTCAAACAGCAATGATAATAATAATAATAATAGCTGTTATAATAATCAGACTTATATAATCCTAGTATTGATATACACGATTGTTTTAGAGTAGTTATTCAATATTTCAATGTTCCATTTTAATGCGAATGGTATTATTAAGCATACATAGTAATACCATCTTTCAATCTCTAATTTTTTCCATCTAATTAATTACTTATTACTTATATTCTATTATATTAAATATATATCTGTTAATATTCCCCCTATTTCTTATTTCTATCTCTATTCTAACTTCTAGTCAGGCCACCATTACTAATCCTAGTGTTAATACACTTGTTTATATTAAGACTTAGTCCTTCATTATTTAGTTGTTCAAAGTCACAATATGCCATTCAAGTACCAGTCATCCTATTTTTTAAACATACCTAATAATACCATCTTTCAACCTCCAATCTTTCCATCTAACCATTGCTTTATATAAAAGTGTGTATTCTTATTTCTAGTTCTAGCTTTATTCTAGTTTTTAATCAGGTCATCCTTATATTAGAAAAAAGAAAAAAAGTAGTAACAATTCCTTTCTATCCATCATCTCTTGCCCATTTTAATGCTTCAATTCTTGTTTGTTTTTTGGCTTGCCTCCGATACTCCTCTCTTGGATCTTTGTCTCTATCAGCACCTGTGTCTTCACCATTCAGTCTGAATATTTCTCCCATCTCTTTCCTTCTAAGCTGCCAGGTCTCCAGAGTGTCCACCCAAACCCCTATGTCCCTTTCAAAAGTATCTTCCAGGTTAACCAATTCCATTTTTAAATCCCTTTAAGTCCTTTTTCCTTGGTTTATTTCATCAGTCATTATTATCTTTATTGTCTTCTCATCTTCTTGCTTTGTTTGCTGGTTTGTGTGTTCTATCCTTTCCTCCATTCTTTCTGCTGTCTCTTCTCTTTCCTATGCTCTTTTATCTTAATTCATTATCAGTTGTAGCATATTTTCTATTTTCCCATTTATGTCTTGCATAAGGTTCTTTATCTCTCTGTCATTCTTTGTTATAATACACCTAATGCTTTGAAACATCAATGCCATTTCTCTTGAAATCTCACTCATTTCCCTCTGATGGAGCATCTTATTTTAATAAGTCCCGCTCTTACTCAAGTCCAAAAACAATATGTTCAAGTCCAATGTTGCTCCTCGTAAAGTTCAATAATCATAGTTCTTTACATCTCAGGATTATTATTATTAATATTTAAGTAGTCCAGGTAGCTTGCACAAATCAAGAGTCACTTTGCTTTACTTAAAAGAGTTTTCCTTATTCAGTATTCATAAAGTAGACAATTCTAGAACAGTAAGTATCACCACAGTCCACCAGATAAATGTTGCTTATTTCTCTTATCAAAAAATTTCCTAGTCTTGTAGGGGTATGGTTTATTTTCCATTCACCAGTAGATGACACCCTGAGCTTAGGTTTCAGTGTTGTTGCAAATCTGATAAATTGATTAATCCAAATTTAGTTCAATTTATGGAAGCAAAGTCAGTTATTGAAGTAGATTCATGTAGATAGTTCCAGCATTTTATAATGCCTTTCCAAAACAACACCTACCTATTTTAAAAATCCAATTTTCTATGTTTTAAAAGGTCTTTAGTTTTTCTCCCTTTAGTTACTTTCTTTTGGGTCAAGGATTTTTCTCTCTATGGTTGTTTTCTGCTTTAAAAAATAGTTCTAAGCATCTCTTTTCCTGGATTTTTCCTTTTTTTTCTTTTAAGGTTAGGGTCTAAATAAAAAAGGAAACTTCTCACCTAGCTCCAGTCACTGTTCATCTACACCATTCCTGTAAATTTCTTTGTTGCCTTGGCTGTCCCAGCTTCATGGCAGCCATGATGGCTGCCTCTTCTCATCATGGATAAGAGGGAAGACGCCATGGGTCAAGCAGAAGAGTTGCCGCTCTCCGTGACCTGCAGGGTGCCCCTCTTTTCTTCACCACCCCTACAGAGCTAGCTCCTTTCAGAGCCCTCCAATGGGGAGAACTCAGTGCAGGAGTGGAGACCCACTCCTCATGTCTGATCTTGCTGTGAAGTCAGCTGGAAGTGGACACAGCCATTCCTATTACGGTAGTTGTATCTAATGACATAGATGTCATAGAACATACTGATCTTTACTTTTTTGACTCCTAATAATTACAAGTATTAAATTTCCATTACTGTATGAGAAATCTCAAGGGACATTTTCTTTGAGTATCCATTAAATTCCAGCTTATTACCTGGCACTCACAGTCTATCCCAATCTTATCAATTTATATAAACTTAAGCATCTGCTTTTTTCACTTCTTCCTCTTCCCAATTCACACTCAAACGCTGGGATAGGCAAATGTCTGGAAGAACACAGAAAAAGAGTGTAAGATATCCATACCTGTCCCTGGGTGGGCCACCAATGTCCAAACAGACTCTCACAATAGGGACTGATGAAGTCGTCAACAGCATCTGATGGTTAAACAAAGTTGGAAAAGCAATCATGACTTCAAAAATAAAAAGTTAACAACTTCAGTGAAGTTAGCTTGAGTCTGATTTAGGTAGAAAAAAAATGGAAAATGTGCCTGTCTCTTATGTACTTCTTGTTAGCAAAGAAAACTTTGTGAAATGGATTGCTATAGGTACACATGAAGGCAGGAAGTTTTGTTTTAGCAATTAGAACAATGTCCTTGCTGAATCAACTGGAAGTTCCTCAGCTGGACAGACATGGGAGGTGTGAGCTCTGAAGAGCCTCACATGAACTCTGTCTGAAAAACCAATGCCAAGATCCTTTTGGATCAGAACTTCACGGGGGTGGTGGTGAAGAAGGGGCAGCATCTCATCAGACCCAGAAGGAGTGCAACAGGTCCCTCATAGGTCAGAGATTTGCCCTTTGAATCGGCATTGGGGGAGGCAGCATGGCAACATGGCTGCACAAGAAGCTGGCTTCTGGCCAAAGTATCTGAGCAGGTGTGTGTAGGAGACAGGATGAAAAGCCTGGTAAGAAGATTTAATTAACCAACAGACATAAATCAGAATTTGGAAAAGGCAAAGAACCTTGAGAGTATAAATAATATCAATAGACAGATCGGGATTTTGGCAGAAAGAAAGAAAGAAGGAGAAAAATGGAGGGTTAAATCACAAGCCCAAAAAGAACTACTTGCTTTAAATAACTTGGACACAGAAAGGAGAAAGCAGAGAAGTGACAAACCCATTCAAACACAAACTTTGCATTTGGATTTGGATTTGAAAAGACTGTGTCTTTAAAAGAGATTAGGAGGGTGAAACAGAACTAAAAGAGATTTGCTTCATTCGTGTTTCTTCTAATTAACATATCTTAAGCAACTCTAATTAATGAGAGGTGGAATGTAACAAGGGAGGAAATCAAGAAAAAAACACTATTTTGTCACTTATAACCTAATCATGTCTGTGCAATGAATGGAAAGTGAAACCTTGAGCAGGAAGTTTTAATTAACCAATTGTCATAAATCAGAATTTGGAAAAAGCAGGAGGTAAAGAGAAACATACCAAGGAGACTTGCTGTTTTGGAGTTGTTCTAATTAATATATTTTGAGCAACTCTAACCAATGGGAGGTGGAAGGTAACAAGGGAAAAAAAATAAAATCAAGAGCTGGGAAAATACGAAGTTTTTTGCCAGAGGAAGAACAAAGGATCAAGATGGCTCCCGCTTCTCTTCCTCTTCACATTAGCTGAATTAGCTAAATTTAAGGTGGACCAGAACTCTGAAACAAGAACTGTATAACTGTGATTTTGGAACTGGACATTATGGAAAGGTGGGAATTTGAAGAACTATGTAAAATTATAAAAAAAAATATGGATAATTCATTAAAATCAAGTCTAAAAAGAATTTTGAAGTTAGATATTGAGGAGAAGCAGGAAGTGAAGAAAAAAGTGAAGGAAGAAGAGAGGGGGATAATGAAGTGGTAGAAATGGTGGAAAATAAAAAGCAGACAAAAAAACTTCATTGGGTTTGACAGTGGTATAG